GTTGACTAAGGAATACTGTTATAGTATATGAATTTGTGTGTGTATATAAAAATTATATATAATATAATTTTAATACAATATCATATATCGATCAATATATGAAGAAAATATAGTTTAATTTATCTGTTCAGCTACAAGGTATATCAAATATAATTATTTCTATTTTTTTATATTTTTATATATTAAAAAAAAATTATTTAAAAATTCTATAAATTTATAATAATAATATTGTATATGCCAAAAATATAAATATATTTTTATTTAATTCTTAAAACGGTTTAAGCTACGTTACAAATCCATAGACTGCATCATTATGCCCTTTGGGCCAATTAGGTAATCATAATTAGCTTTAAATTGCAAATATTGCGTTCATTAATTTAGCTAACAAAAACTGTGGCTAGTTTTTAATTAAAAACAAATTGAAATATTGAAAACCAAACCAGAAATATAATATTTATTTTATATATTTATTTAAGCTGATAGTTCAATACTCGAGTTGTTTTTGCTTAGTTAAAGCCAGAGGGCAATGGCAGCTTGAAAGCTTCAGCTAATTGCGTTGACAATGTGACTGATAAAAACCTCATTCCTTTCGCCTCGTCCGCTGCCTCTTCGTGTTTTGTGGGCATGACGGCGCCTTCTGCTAATGAACATCGATTTGCCCGCAGACTCACGTCGGCTGCGAGCTCTCTGTGTGTATGTGTTTGTGTGTGTGTGGCTGTCCCACAATCGAAATCGGAATTTAAATTGACTCATTAAAACGAGCAAAAAGCGGGTCGCACGACAATTAAACAAACGCGCGAGCCAACGTTTCCTAATGCTTCCCCCATCCTCCCACACACACATACACACACACACAAACTTCCCCCTTGATTGAAGCAACTCCCGCCCGCAAAGATTCCTGGCACCTAATATGGGGTCATTAGTTAATTTGCCAAACGGCTTCAGTTGCCCTTTGCATACCCTGGCCAAAGGGACTCTGTTGAATTTCTTATGAGATTTGCTAGAGCGGAGAATATTCCTGAATATTCCTAATTGCTTTGCTCTTATAAAAAACAAAGATTTTGCGTGAGGACTTCGAAATGCTTAGTTATCGAAGATGGGAAGAATACATATATGAATGTATAATTCTTAATGAATGAATATTTAGGCTTCTAAAGTAAAGCCATTTAAGCTTTTGTAGCTCATATAAAAAGATCATTGAAGCTTAAATGCTCTTTTATCTAAAGAATTAATAATATTAATAAATAGGTAAATATATTATTATAAAGTTAAAAATCATCAATCATCATATATTTGAATCTAACATTACAGAGCATTTAATTTTTTACTTTTGTAATGTAATAAATAATTAAGCAATACAATAAAAATAATCTTATCAATTTCACCGACAAAAATTCATATAGCTTTTTTACATCTCTCATCGAATTCTTCGTCTACTAATATAATAGAAATTTTCTCTTCCCACTCTTCATATAAAATTCAATAAAGATTTTTATTCAATTATCCTAGCAATACGGTAAAAATCTAAAAACTAACAAAGGCAATTCATTTCTCCCATTCACACATACTGATATTTAATTGAAATGTCTATGGATATGCTTTATAGGAAAAGTAGAATCTTCCTCGAATATATGTATCTAAGTATATATACAGTTTGTCTTTAAATGCATAAACTTGAATGAATTCAGTTAACTAGAGCATGACTGTTTCGGCTAATCAAGGATCTCTGGGGTGCTTTGGCTTCTGCCGCTGTTGCCGCGTTGCCACTGTCAAGGACGACGTTCACGTCCTTGTTGCCGAATGCTCGTCACCAGCGTCTGTTAATTTATGTGCTCGTACCCAAAGTTCCAGCCAGCGCGACTCTCATTGAGGTTTTTTGTT